GAGGGCCGGGCCCAACGGGCGGCGGCCGCTCACCTGAGGGCCCGGCCGAGGCCGGGGCGCGGGACGGAGGGGAAGAGCGTCCGAGCAGAAGCCCACGGGGCGACAGCGTGCGCCTGCGGCCTCAGCCTCCCGCTCCCGGAGCGTGTTTTCAAATCGCCTGTCCCTCACGCGGCCGCGTCTCCTTCCGCCGCCCGGAAATCAGGGCCCCTCCCCCGCCGCGCCGCGCTCACGTGACCGCGGCCCGCAGCCGCGCGCAGCCGGGGAGGCGGGAGCGGTGGGCCCCGCCCCCGGGGGGAGGGGGCCGGCCGGAAGCCCCCCGCGCTCCGGGAGGCGGAGGGAGGAGAGCGCAGGAGCCAAGGACAAAGCTCGGCCCGACGTCCAGCCCCCAGCTTCTCGGGTCTGCAGCTCTGGGGGTGTCGCCCTGGTTACAGCTAGCTGGCAGCATGCTTTTTCTCCGCACGCTACACCGCGGTTCTTCAGACCTGGAGCCACATTCAAAGAAGAGTATGAGTTGAACTGAATTGAGAAAGAGAAAAGTTTGGGACTGCAAGGACCGTAGAATTCCTGGGGACGTTTACCTGGATGGAGCAGTTGAGTTACTTGACAGAGGGCAAAATACACCTAGTAACCGGAGCTTGAAAGTCGTAGTCGAAGATTTTCCCTAATATTTCAGTTTCTCAGCACTGCTACTGAAATTAAGTGGGCCCCGGGGAAATTAAGGGAGAAATTAAAATGCCTGGAGAGGGGATGAGAAGGCGAGGAGAATGGGTCTTTGAGAGATAGACTTCCAAAGACTGGCAGGGGGCGTGGAGAAAAGAGCCCCAGAAGTGGATTTTAGACCTTGATTCAGATTTGTCTCTACGGCTTACCAGATGTAAGACTAAAGCTGACAGCAGTGTGAGCCTCAGGTTACAGGGTAGGGATTCAGAGAAATGACGTCTGAGGTCGGGGGAGAACCAAGCACTGAGACTAAGACCGTGCCTAGTCTACGATCAGAAATACAGAGACAGACCCAAATACCCGCCTCTCCCTTCCCTGGCAACACAGCCATGCTGCCACAATCTGCCTTCAATCCGCCATAAACGTAAACATTTGGGACAGGGTTATATGGTCTTAAAACTTAGGACACTGGATCAGAAAAGGAAAGATTTATTGCCAGCCAGACATATCTCCCGAACTTTAGACTCCTATCTAACAGCGTATTCACCATTTCCTTTGGACATCCGTTCTATGTCTCAAGGTCAGCATGTCCAAAATGGAACTCCTGATTTCCCCCTGAAACCTACTGTTCCCACAGCCTCTTCATCTCAAATAGCAATTCCATCC